TGCCTTTTCCTCGAACTGCGTCCGCCGCGCGCCCTTCCCCCGGCTAGTCGCCTTTGCCCTATTTGCCTAAAACGCCCGGCGCGATTTGTAAACATCCTGTTAAGCGTGATATCCCCGTTAAGCCGAGCATCCCCCGATGAATTCGAGGGATGAAGGATTTCGTGCAATTAATGGCGACCGGCCGAAAATCGAGCGCTATCGAACCCGCCAGCTGAAGCCGGCAATTAACGCACTTCTGCAGAAATCAACTTCCTCGGGCGGCCCCGAGGATATTACCTTCGTTAGCGCCCGGCTAAGCCGGGTGAACCGGGAGTTAACTCAAGGTCGGCCGCAAGAAAACGTTAATGGAACCGGATCGAGGGGCTGGCGCGGAGTTGCCGGCGCCCCACGTCATGTAAATTATTGTATTATTTGCGCGATGAATGGGGGATCCGGTGCGCGGCGAGTCCACTTTCGGCCTGGGCTCCCGTAATTTTCCAAGTGTCTGAGGGCTTTTGTCGGGAATACTTCTTTGTTTCCACCGCGCCACGTCCCGTCCATATTTACCGCAGCGCTCACGTGGGCGGCCGTCATTATCCGTATTGGCATTGTTTTCCGACACGCGGGCCGCTTTTATCAACGGCGTCGCGGTTATATCGGCACGGCGCGCCGCGCGCACGTCCCGTTTCTTTCGAGAAGCGCGCCCCGCGCGCCCGCGTTAAATCACGTTTAATGTCAAGAATGGCTCGGCTCTCGGCCGCTCTTCAACAATGCCCGGTCGACCTTCCTTCGCCGCGCGCGCACAAAGGCGACGCGCGCTTCCTTCGCGGATTCACATCGCGAGAAATCGCGGCGCCCTAACGATCGGCTGCAACCCGCGCTTTTTGCAGATCTCCTCTGCCGCTGACGGCAACTTCGCTGATTAGCCTTATCTAAACGATTCTTCGCGCGAGAAAGGTGCAACGCGTCAGGCCGCGGTACGAAAGAGACCATCTCCCGATGAAAGAATTTACTTTTCGATTAGTCTTCGAGAGGAACGACTTTAAACTACCATCGATTGACAAAGTAATTTCTCGAGATTGAAGTCTGACGTTACGCGTTATCGATGGAGGTGTGACATTTTGATGTTATCTTTATACGCAAAGTATCGCAAAATGCCCCAGGGAAGTTTTTAATGTCATTTCTTTACATTTTCAAGTCCCCAGCTTCGTTTTAACACGCGTTTTTAAAACGCAAATAACATCAAAAAGTGCAATCTTCCTTAATAAACATTTCTAACGTCAATGTTGTATCCTAAACCAAAGAGATTTATGCCTAGGTCTGCCATTTTTTAAGTATAGAAACTTTTTTCTTCATAATTTTACATATTTCGATCTAGTGTCCTGAATGTTCTTATTTCTGGCCGTCTACAGCCCGTAGATTGCTGGCGGCCTATAATGGGTTAATATAGTCATTAATTTCCACCGATCCCTTGTGAAGGGACAAGCAGTTGCGAAATTAAATACCCTGCCGTTAATTATTGGAAAATCGAATATCCTTTGATTAGCGAGCGATGTCTAATCAAGTAAACGCACGCTCCAACATTTCCCCCCCCCCCGAAAAGTAAGCGTAAACACGAAGAAAAATGCGCTTTTTACTCGCCCTCTTTCGCGGAAAGTCGCCCCTCAGACATCCCCTCCGCGTAATCATCACCTCGTTATCTCCATTATGCCGAGCTCTCTGTGTTACAAGTTTCCGCGGGCGGGCAAGAGGAGAGCCGAAGGAGGTCGTAAATCGGTGGAAAAAGCTTCACGCCGCCTTTCGATTCATAAAGCCGCCGCCCGATATCCCGCGTCCTCGCGCGAGAGACGAGCGTCTCTCGCGGCCCGCGCGCGAGCCGCCTGGAACTTCATTAATACAATCCCAGCCGAGCTTAATTGCCGTAATTCCCCGGGGCTTTTACATTTAATAACGCCGGTAAAAGGATTAACCTACGCTTAATAACCGACAAATGCCGCCGCGTGCCGCGGCGACGCAATCAATTTCGAATTTACGCGCGGAGAGCGGACGTCCAGGCTGGAACGCGGCGTTTCCTGAGCGGCGCGCATTCCGTTCGTCGAAAATGCGAGCGTGGAAAATCGGATGATCAGCGCGCCGGTTGATTTGCTGCCCGTCACGCGCTCTTTGACAAAAATGCGCTTAGCGGCGGTTAAAGGCAACGTCGGGGTTGCAGGCGGAGCTGCAACGCGCGGCTCATTACGCTTCCAAGCTCGCGGTATGCGCGCGCAAACCGCCGCGTATTCTTTTTTCTTTCCTCTTTTTTTTTTTAGCGAAACGTCCCGGCGGAATAAAATTCTTTACGGGAATTGATTTACGAGGGCGGGCGCGAATATAATCTACTCGAATTATAGGCCATTCCGGATTTTCTTTCTGCCGCGAGCCCCGAAATTCAATCTTCGTGGTTCGGTGGTCTAGATAATTTTCAGCGCGGCGCGTTACAAGGATGCACGGCGCAAAATATCGCGGGATCAGGGTCATACGGTTAATCGTGGATACGCTATAATCTCCTGTTGCGGCTACACGCGCACATCATGAGCATTATACTGCGAGAGTACATAATGTGTGGCGGGAAACGCGAATAGATAATCCAATCTGAGGTCTGCTTTGTGCGAATAATACGATAGATGGGATCCTGATTGAGTTTCGTTCCCGTTTGACGGGCATTTCGGGGGCGGCCTCCGAATTAGAATTATCGCTGGCGCCATTGGTATCTGTATCGGGTCAGAAAAGTTCTGAATGGCTTCTACAAATGACGTTCGCCGGCCCAGAACCGCCGCCCCGTGCGAGCGAGCACCGGCTGGGACAGCAGTTCCAGACACGAGACGTGTAATTCGCAAATGTAACGAAAAAGTGTCATACATGTACATAAAAAAAACGATACAATGAAATTTTATAAAATATATTATATATTATATATTTTGCTTTTCAATATAATATATTTCATAAAATATATTATAATATATAATGTATTTTGTTTTTGAATATAATATATTTCACAAAATATTTTATATTAAAAACCATACTTATATTAATGATTATGTAGCGTAATATATTAACCAATTAAAGGATATTCACTTGGGAGGGAAGCTCGAAGTCATTTGTCGAATTAATATTTCTGTAAAAAACCGGCTCTCTTTGAAGCGGAAGAAATTACTCGAAATGAGATGTCTTTGAAATATTCCGCCGAAACGTAAATGCATCCTCATTTTTAAATTAAGAGACGCAGGCGAAAAGTGAGCTTCAGTCACATGGCGGCTACTTGATAACAGGTATCTGCATCGGATAAATATATGTTTGTTTCATTTCCATTTTAATTCATCTTATTGTTCCTAATTGCGTCTCCCGCTCCGACGAATTTCATGAATGTTTATTGCATTACGTGGGTGTAAATGGCACGTGAGTGTCCACGGTACATCGTGCTCGGTCCCGTGGGTTCGCTAATTGTAAGCCGAAATGACCGCGCGAATGACCAATCCGCGCGGGAAAGCACTAGTTTCTTCTTTTTATCAGTAAATTTTTAAATACAGTAAAAGCAGATTTTTTACACAATTGTGACATTATTAATGCTAGCAAATAAAGCCGTGCAAATAAATACGTCTCGGAAAATTTTATTATCTAAATATGGTATTCTTAAATATAACTGTGAATAAATTAACCCTCTGTACCGCCGTGTAACTTCCAAGTTGCACATTCGTACATCTGTGCTTTTTACGTCTCGCTTCATTCTTTTCGCCATTACTTCGTGTCTCCATAGTTTCAAATAAGACTTTTTATGACAAAGGGTTTAAGAATTGTAAGAGCCGGTTGTTCTAACTTCTCAGGCTCGGATTTTCATTTACTGGTTAACTGTTAAACAAAGGCTAGTCGACTCCCTGTCCCTTCTCAGGTAATAACACAGAAAAAGATGGAGAGTCGACTAACTTCTGGTTAACAGTTAACCAGAAAGTGAAAACCCGGGCTTTAGTAAGTTAATTAATAGTTAAATCATACATACCTCTTTATTTTTCCTTTAGTCAGACAAAGATAGATATATAATTTACCAATTAGTTAACTTACCAAGAGGTTGGAAAGACCGGCCTTAAATTAATTATTTTATCCACAGGTTAAGGTTTGCCAAATCTTTCAACATTTAATTTCTACCGTAGAAATTTATGCGCTAAGATTTGTTAGAGAGCGAACTTTCCCGATTCGACGTCAGCGGTCCGATCGTGAATCTCTTCCCCTAACGTAAGCTCGTGAAAAGAGAAAACTTTCACATTTGTAAATACATATTCGTAATGAAGAGTATACTAATAATATAAAGTGAATTAAAGAAATGAATATCTGCTGTTTTGTGTCGGAAAGCAACCGGGACGAAAAGCAGCCTATTGCAGGCCCAGGTAGCACAAGTCAGTACCGCGCGCTCATCGCTTCCTCTCAATATTCGTAATACTATTGCTCACCAAACGTGTATGCACGTAGCGTGTAAATGCAAGCAAGCCTCCGCACTCGAGCCCGGAACCGTAAATTCGTGAACAATAAACCCAAATGACACCATTACTGCACGATTCCAGCGGGAGAAAAAAAACCAACGACAAGAAAGCGGCACAGTAGCGTCCTCTAATGCAACAAACTCAATTCGAGTGGCGGGGTTGGCTAACGGTCGATTGCTAATCAACGTCGGTAATTCGCAGTGGTCGGTAAAGTCGCTAACATTAAAATGACCGTGTGCTCATGGTCTTTGAACTTTCATAGCATCAGATTGAAATTTTATTCAATAAAATTCCAGATTTGGCCAATCATAGCACAAGATCATTTTAATCTGGATCCTTCTAATTTTCTCGCGAAAGCAGCCGGTGAACGCAGAAAAACCTTGACCAATCATGAGCATATTCCGCTGTTTTCGTGACCGGTCACTCGTTCCGCGATTTTCTGCGTACACTGTTCCGCTGTATGAGTTTGCAATTTAATTAATTAAGTTTAGGCAATTCTGTCAGTGAAATCGGATTGTATGTATTTAGTCGGGACTCGAACCAAAAAGTAAAATTTGTCGATAAAATCGGATATGTTTAGTCCAGACTCGCTCCTAGGGGCAACGCTGTCGGTAAGGGGCAAAGTGTGTGGTAAATTCACCCTGTATGGGAATCTAGAGATCTTTGGTCACATTTTTATGCTGTTGGCAGCAGTAATTTAACGGACTGCCGGCTGTTTGAAAGTTCATTCTGTTCAGCTAGCGGACGACCGGACGTATGCACGAGCGCGATTGTGATCCGCTACTCCGCAATAACGTCGCTCTTATTTAACAGAAGTGAACAGAAGTCGACAGAACGTTTCACCGGGGTGTCGCACAGCGTGCACGACTGGTCAAATAAACGTGTGCGCAATTTAAACGACAATTTCACTGACCTCTCCCTTTCTCACCGGAATCACGTGTTCGGCGACTGTGTTTACATCTTTACTTTCTGCGAGTTTTTTTGACCCCGGAGACTGTAGCGGTGGATAATTTCGGGATCTCCAAAGTGACGTTCGCGACGAAGTTGCGAGGCATCGCTTCACAGTGAAATGAGAAGTTAAAAGGACTGTGAAAATGACGTTTAACTGGTACGCGGGGGACTTGGGGTGCAATTCGCAAAACTTCCATTTGCGGCTGTCCGCGGGCTCCAGCATCGAGAACTCCTCGCCGCAGCGTTCGGTCGGGAACAGGAAGACGGAGGATGATGTTATCGTCATCAGCGACTCCAGTTGCGACTCCAGTCACGACTCACCCCCCGCGCGCGCTGAAAAACCGAAATGGAAGTCCAGTTCGACTTCCAGCGTCAGAAGTAAGGACCGTCCAAGGCTGCGCTTCGCGATCTCTTCGGAGAGCGAGGGGGAGAGGGAGTCCGACTCGTGCAGGCTTGACAGAGCTGACGACGAATCAAGGGGGAAGTATACGAATAGAACTCCCGCGCGCGTTAACGGGATACCTGAGGCATCGTTGATCTCCACCGATGCCTCGTCAGTCTCCGAGAGACTATTTGACAGCCTACTCGCTTCTAGCGGCGCCTTGATCAACGACAAAACTGCCAGCAGGGGTAACTGTGACGGAGTAAAGAATCAAGTAAATAAATCTAAAAGACACGTTCATGACGGAAGTCCTATGTTAATTGCAGAGCGAGAGGCAGATTCGAAGCTAAGAGAAGAGTACAGTGCCGAGAGGATAAATAGCGCGACCAAGCCGAGCTGCGACGGTCCCAATATTGTCAGCAGGCGTCCGACATGCAACGCTCCGAAGCAAGACGGCACGGCGAAGACCAGACTCACGAAGAGGGACGTTCACAAAATTCTGAGGAATATCAAATGCACGCAGGCCGTGTACGATTCCCCCGGAGAGAGAAGGGACTTAAACGTGATAATTGACGAGAGCATCGATGTAGACGAGGACATGATACATCCAGCTATTTCACCTACTTACGCCAGAAAAGTGCAGCGTCCCGGTGACAGTCCCGATGTTGTCGATACCAGTCTTAAGAGCGACGTTTTGCAACAAGCGGGTCCGTTCGAGTTGCCCGAGCCGCAGCACGACGGGTCGAGGATGGCGAATTCTTACAGACCTCTGTCCGAGAGGAGAAAGAAACAGATCAGCGAGTGGCTCCTGACCAACGCCTCCGAGTCTCAAAGCGACAGTTCCTTCAACACTGTACCGCCGAGCGTTAGAAAGAGCAACTCTGGGAACAGCAGTCTGGAGAGACTGGAGCTGAGCTACGAGACTCCGAACAACCGGGGAAGAATCAACAGGGCCCAGGCTGACGAGAGGACAGTTGTAAATTCTGACAGAGCGGCCCGTACACCCTCGACGCGTCAAAATGCGATAGGCCGGTACTTTAAAGAATCCAGGAACGATTCTGAGCTCGGCGCACGTCCGAATGGGGTAGACCGGTATTTTAAAGAGTCCAAGACTGATTCTGAATTCAGCACACGTCAGAATGGGATAGACCGGTATTTCAAAGAAACCAAGAATGATTCTGAATTCCGCACGCCAGATAATAAACCGAAGCTCCCGCCAAAAGGGCAAACCGACAGAAAAGTTTACCCGGGCGCAAACACGTCTCAAACTAATAGTGTAATGGACTGCGCGAGTATTTTGGATAAACTGTATGGTACGTCGTGGAGAGACAAAGCTGACGCGCTGCTTCCAACGAGTGAACCACGGAAGGCGCCTGTTCAACCGGTGAATAGGATCGTCCAGACGGAACGGTAATTTATCCTGATACCGTTTTGCACCTCAATCTGAAAATTATCTACCATGTTATATTTTATTACAGAAAACCTGTAGCAAAGGATCAATATAGGACGGTAGATTCGGACTCTGACGGGTGCGATTTGGGTAAGGAATTCATCGGCTCGATCATGAATCTTTTCCTCCAGCGTGGACTCGTGAAAAGTGAAAAATGTAATTGACAAATTCGATTTTGATCAATAAAATCAGAATTTCACGAGTTTACGCTGGAGAAAAAGATTCAAGGTCGAACCTCATACCTTATCGAAGTCTAATTTGATCTCTAAAACTGCAAATTTTGTTTCAGTCGGAAACGATATCAAGCCAGGTCAGAGAAGGAATATTCAACGAAAACAAAAAGTAAATAGCTTTATCAATGACGAATCGTTGTCTGATAGTGGCAGTGAAAGTATGTATTACAGTGCGTTGACAAATCCAACAACTTTTACGAGTAAATCGACCAAATCCGTGCCAGTGCCAGCGTCAATTAAACGGTACTATAAAATCGTTATTTCTTTCAAGAGGTGCTGAATTTAATTAAATGTTGGGCGTAGCCTTCAGGTACTTTGTGATCCGGACACAGACGACGAAGACAAGGCTAGCGACGACCCTAAGAAGTTGCACGGGAGGAAATTGTCATTCAGCGACGAGGAAAGTTCCAGCACGAGCGAATTCGACCCTGGAGATTACGTAGGGCCAAAATACGTACGTAATCAAGGTGAGGGACGCGTGGTAAAATTTGTTAAAGTTTTTTGGAAGTGAAAATGGCACAGAATATTATTAACGACGTAAGCCTGCATTTACTAATGTAATGTCTATTTTGTAGAAGTTAAAGGACCAACGTCGTGCAAAGTAGCACCGAAATTTGAACCAGCCGCGGCTAACAAGTCTGCGGGATGCGAAACCTTCCTGGCATCTTTGTCAAATACGGTTCCGATGACTCGGGCTCATCCCGATGCAAAGAAATACAGATTGGATTACAAGAGCAGGAAGGAGGAATTATGCAAAAAATTATACGAATTGTACAACGAGAGAGTATTCGAAAATAAGTTGCCTCGAGATATGTCCATTGAATGGAACGTCCGTATGAGAGGGACTGCCGGATATTGTTACAACAAGAAGTCCACGAAACTCATTAGTGGTAGCGTCGTTAAGTCTTCGAGGATCGTACTAGCGACAAAGGTACGCTCTTGTTTCTTTCTCTTATTATACATGCGTAAATATAGCCAGCCATAGCTGACATTATTTCTGTAGATTTTAGATACACCGGATAGACTGAGGGATACTTTGATTCATGAAATGTGCCACGCTGCATCGTGGATAATAGACAATGTCTCGGACGGCCATGGACTTTTTTGGACAAGATGGTACGTCACGACGCAGTACTTAATCAAATAGCTCCATTGTATCATTAAGGCTGGTATTCGTCAGTCCGTTCTTATGTTTAAGAACATCTCCAGTATAGTCTTAATGTATTGTGAACCAACCACAGAGCCGTATTAGTATCTTAAGACATTACTTAAGAATGTTTATTTTACCGTAAAATTCTACACATCGAGTGCGGTAATCGCTTATAATGATTATTGTTCAGAGATTTACATAATTTACTTGACATTGCAGGGTTGACAAAGCAATGAAGAAATTTCCTGAATTGCCACCAGTTCGTCGCTGTCATAGTTATGAAATTAAAACTAAATTCACGTACAGATGCACAGGCTGCGGATACAGGTATTGATTACGTTAAAAAGCGATTAACGAGTCGAGCGTTACATTTCTAAAGCTCAAGTGTTACTCGTTGCAGTATCGGAAGACATTCGAAATCCTTGGATATCGAGAGGAAACGATGTGGCTATTGCTACGGCAAGTTCGAATTGTTCGTTAACAAGACAACGAAGTCTGGCACCGTGCAAGTGCAGACACCGAAGAGGGAACCCACCGGCTTCGCGTTGTACGTGAAGCAGAATTACAACTCGGTGAAAAGGGAGAAAAGTAACATGAAGCACGCCGAGGTGATGAAGCTTCTAGGTCAGCAATTTTCGACAATTAAAATAGCAAAGAAAACCGACGTGGCCAGCAATTAAAAATGACTCGGGGGACGCCTGGCTGAATATCAAATATATACACATATAATTTCGAATATTTTGTAAGCGATGTAAAAAAATCTCGCATAATTTTGCGTCTTAATTTTAGAGTAGGTTTTAGAGCTGATAATTGTATGTATTTGAATTTCAGTTATTTTGCATGTTTTGTTACAGAGATCATACATGCAATTACAGTGTACAAATATTAGGGAATATTGTATTTTGGAGGACTAATGTCTTTTTAATATTACAGGCGCTGCGATGTGACGTATATGAATAAATCTTGTATATTTCACATGTCGCATCTACATATGCATATAAGACTTTTTCTACGTGAAATATTGATATGTATGTTTTTACATGCGAGAGATTTTATATTCTACCCCGTACTTAGAACGTAATCAAATACTCCTTATGATATTAAGTGGCTAAGATTTAGAGCGATTATTTAAACAATGACAGCGGCAAAGTGTTGCTTTGTTGAGCGAGGACTGATTATTTAAATAAAAGCTTTGATATAAGAGATCCTTACAATTTTTCGCGTTTCTCACCGTCCATCCCAAGCCTTTCGGAATTCCCCCGCGACACAATATGCATCGTTTCATGGACATTTCGGCAAAACTTTAGTGCAAAGTACGTGACAGTGTTTAGTTAAACTTAATAATTTCGTTATTTTTCACTTTTCAACGGTATACTTGGACTTTCCTCGTATGTACGTCACCGTATTTCATTGAATTACACAGGAAAATTTCAAATTTATTTTGAAGTAGCGTTAGAATAATAAAATAGAAACTACATTTCGGTACCTAATTTTTTCGACAACTTTCATTTCACTTTTCGTCGAATTCACGGCAAATATCTCCGTCAGGGTCGCGAGCCTGTCGAGATCAGCTGCTCGATGACGTTTCCTGTCCACGATTCACGAGTACCTAGATACGCCCTCGTGAAAAATTGACGCGGTCGCGATACAGGACACGAGGAATCGTCTTCTGATTGGTCCGCCATGTTTACGCTATTGCCGCCGGTTTTCAAATACATGAATTATACAGGGTGAGTTTTTAAACTTGAGACTGCAATTTATTTGGATAAATAATGATTGTACGAATAAATGTCCCAAGTAAACCCTCAATATTTTCGAGAGGGCAATTCCATCCCGCAAAAGTTAGCCGCCTACCGCTTCCCCTGGAGATGGGGTGGGGGGTAACTTTGAAATCTTAAATGAAAACCCCTATTGTTTATTATACTATCTCATTCTACTAATTAATCTAAATCCCGTATCAGACTACGGATTGAGATTGAGATTAGATGGAAATTTGGCCAATTAAAGTAAAAGTTACAAAACTTTAGATTAGTAAACTTTACCGTGATTGGTCAAATTTCAATCTAATCCCAATCTCAATCAAGATTGAAATTTGACCGTGGCGTGTTCTATCTCTTATTTTAGTGTCTCTAGCCTCGACACAGCGATGGGGTGACGAGGTGACGACACTGACGACGGCGGCGGCGGCGGCGCGGCGTTGGCAAGTGTATGGAAACGCGGCCGCAGCCGCGACTCGCGGGGCGCAGAAGTGCGCAGACGTCGCCGGAGTCGCGGCGGCGCGTCCGTGGCGCACTCTAAAAACAGTCGTGCCGAAGATGGCGACGTGTGAGCGGCGTCGTCCGCGCGGCGTTTAATCCGCGGAGAGAGAGAGAGCGCGAGGAGGAGGTGTATCATGTTGCCGCGGTCGCAGGCTGGGCCCGCAGTGTTTCCGTGATCCCGCGTGTTTTTCGGCTCGGCGCGCGAGTGTGCGTAAAAGGAATGTCAGAGGCGAAACGGGCGCCCCTGCAGACCCTGGAGTTCCCGGAGCCCCTGGGCCACGCGACGAAGGAGAAAAAGGGGAACATGGGCAAGCAGCTCGCGCCCTCCTTCCGCTTCGCGCTCACCCTGCCCGAGTCCAACGAGAAGACATGCCCGGAGTTCAACTACGCGCAGCTCCTCAAAACGGCGGAGGTGAGCCGCCCGCGCCCGTCGCCCTCCCAGCCGGCGCGGCGGGGGGGAAAACAAAAGACCGTATGTCAAGCTCGTGTCATGCACGCGAAGCATACGGAGGAATAAAAAAAAGGAGACGTAGAGCGTGTATGCGTGTGTGAGAAAGAGTGAAAGAGAGAACGAGAGAGAGAGAGAGAGAGAGAGACAGAGGGAGTGTGCGTATGTATGTATGTATGCGTACTTGCTTGCGTGTGAATGCGTGGCACGGGGGGGAAAAGGGGGGCGCGGACGGTGTGCGCTCGTCGACGTCGACGAGGCGCGAGGAGTCCTCGATTTCGGTGCGCGCGCGGTTGTCACGCAGCTCGGCGTCGACGCCGCCGCGCGCGCCGAGATTCGTCTGCCCGGCCGCGCGTAAGGCGGCGCGAGGACACGAGACGGGCGAGAACGGTTCCTTGATCGATTCGCTCGCGGCCCGCGCCGTGTCGAATCCGTTCCGTCGTTCACGTCACCGCGGAGCGGCGGCCGACATACGCGCGCGCTGTCACGAGGCGGACGCCGCGGCGAGGTGCGCACCGTTCTCTCTCTCTCTCTCTCCTCCCCTCGGGGGAGACGGGGCGTCCTTCGCGCGCGTCCCTTATGCTCGTAAAACGTCTGCACGAGAGAGTTGCCATTGCGCGGCCGTCCGGCATTTCGCCTCCGTCTTGTCTTCTCTCTCTCTCTTTCTCCTCCACTCTCCTCCTCGAAGAAGGGAAAGAGGCGGCGGCGATGCCTTATTCGTGTGTGCAGCGTCTACGCCGGTCTATTTCGCAAGCCACGTACTTCGTCCAGCGGCTCTCTGTGCGCAAGGGGGAGAAGGATACGCGGAAAACGCGGCTGGGAAGAGGGAGCGCGAGAGAAAGAGAGAGAGAGAGGGAAAGAGAAAGGGAGGGCGAGAGAGAGAGCGTGCGACACACGGTGCGAGCGTGTGCGTGTCGCGCACGGAGGTCTCTTATTTCACGCGCGCGCGAGAGAGCGTGTGCCGCGCGGGGCTCTCCTTTCTGAATTGTAGATCGATGCACCGGAGGAGACTCGTGACCGCCGACACGTATCGAGTACGCCGCTCGAGACGCGTGTCACGCGCCCGTGCCTCCCCCCCCCTCCCCCTCGTCACTCTTGCCGCGCGGCAGATTGGACAATAAATGAAGCAAATGCAGTCTCGGTCTAATCTAATCTGCCCTTCTGATGGCATAAGGTGGATCCTCGGATTACCGGGTAATCGGCGCCGCGGCACCGCCGTTTTCCCGCGGGAAAGACGCGCGACGCCGTGGCTCAAGATAGCCGCCGGTCTCTCTATCGCGCGAATGAATCGGGGACTATCTTGTCGGCGGTCGGTCGTCACCGATTTGATTTTCAGGTGGTCGTCCGCGCGCTAATCGCATTGCGCCGTCGTCGCCGCTGCTCGTAGGCCTGGGCCTCTATTCCGTACACAATTACCGACGACCATCGATATCGTTAACGACGTTCGCGCAGCTCTTCTATCGTGTAAAAAAGCTGCGCAAACGTTAACGATATCGATGGTCGTCGGTAACCGTGTACGGACTACGGAACAGGACCCTGTACGGGAATTCTGTAACAATTGCTATCGAGGTTTCTCGATAAAGTTAACTAGGAACAACCAATGAAAATCTGCGTCTTTTTCGAAGATCGTCCTCGCCATTGGCTGTCGCTAGTTAACGATACCGAGAAGCATCGATTACAAGTTACAGAATTCCCGTACTGTTCTACGATACCGTCGGACGTCGGAACGTTCGGAACGTAGCCGATGGCCCAATGAGAAAGTGTCTTTTTCGTAAAAGAAACTTTCTCATTGGACCATCGGCCACGTTCCGACAGCGACACACGGCGCATCGTAGAACAGGCCGTGGTCGCGCCACGCGGCTCGGCGGGCCAGGAGGCGATAAATCACTCCCGAAACGCTCGCGAAATTCCGCTCGCCCCTCTCGGCCCGCCTCGCGCGCCGCCTCATTTCCACTACCGATGGCAGGCGCTGCTGCGTGCAATTTGCAGCTTTGTTTTGGTCGCGCACGTGTTTCGAAAACGTGGCACGAGTCCGCCGGCGAATCAAATTTCGAAGTAGCGGGAGGGGCGCGCGCTTCGAAAATTCGCGATTGTACGGCGCGGCTTGTTCGCGCGGAATCGATGATTTTGCAAAAGCGGACGTTTACCCTCTCCCCGCGTAACGTGTCCATTTTTACCGACGAGGATCTACCTTAATCTCGATTCGACTCACTGCGTCCTCTTTCCGTTTCAAGAATTAGAAACAGATAAAAGGTAAATCATCTGCAGGCAAGGGAACTGAAGTTGTATGTAAGATTAATTGTAAGAATTGTGACGCGTCTTACATGGGACAAACCAAGCGACATCTCGAAACACGAGTAAAAGAACATTGCAATGACATAAAAAAAAACACGAGAGTAATTTATCGGTAGTAAGCAAACACCGGTTAATTTAGGAACGTAACTTTAAATGGTTGGAGCCGGAAATTTTACATAATGAAAAACACACACGGAAATTGCTGAGATGTTCTTCATAAAAAAGCAAAAGAACGCTATCAACTTAAAAAGGGACACTGAAAATCTAAATCCCGTATGTGATAAGGTGTTAGAATACGTGTTAGGTGTTAGGAGTTTTTTGAAATTTTACCATGCATTTCACTAGTAATTATGCTAAGTATATATTTTACTAGTAAAACGTATGGTAAAATTTCCAAAAACTCATATAAAGTTCTTCAAATTTCAAAATGCATTTTAAGAAAAACTTCTTCCCGTGTGGTCAAAGGATAAACGAGCCGGATCGAGAGTAGAGTTAATCTGAATCGGTAGAAGTGCCGTAATATCGCGATACACGGTTCTGCTCGACAAGATTGTTTTACTTTTAACTATTCCCTTTCTCTCTCTCGTATTATTTCATTATTCCGACCGTGTGGCTATCGCGCTCTTCTCCTCCATTCAATTTTACTTTGAACGATTTTAATTCGCCAAGCGATAAAATCTCGTTTCGCGTTACTGGCTCAGCCGCATATATATATATATTGCTATATATTTTTTTAAGAATTCCGATAATAACCGCTAGCGGCGGAGCGGTATGAGAAAAAAGCGACACAGCGTAAACTCGCGCGTTGTATCTCGCTGATTAATTGAGTAGCTAATTGGACGATTAACGAGGCTGATTCGGTCCCGACGCGTCAGTGTCGGCGGGGGGAGGGGGTGAGAAAAAAGGAGAACGACCGATCCTCCGTCGTCAATAACCGCTGTCGCAGGCAGGATCAATCGCTCGATTCGGCGTCCCTTCGACAGGGTAGCAGGAGACTGGAGGAGGTGGTTCGCGACGCGACTCGACGCGAAGGAAAGAGCGCGAAACCGCGAGGACGACGCTCCGACCGCGTCATGCGCTCCTGGTATCGCTGGACACGTCCGGCACCCTTTCAGACTCTACTCATCCGTCCCGGAGCTCCCACGCGGTTGCCTCTGCTCTTCCCCCCTCGGTTTTTAGCTCCTTCAATCCGAACGCGACGATAATCCTGCGAGGATCTGCCTCGGGACCAAAAAAAAACTGAGATCGTAATTCTCGACGTGTAAACTAATGCGAATTAATTTCGCGCCGGTCCTTTTATTTCGAGAAACCGCTGCGGGGGCCTTTGCTGCGTTCGCCGTACGTAGAGACTTGTTGTAGCGATTCATGGTTGAGTCATTAAACACTCTGAGGACTTTCGCAGTTTCTCAGTTGTCCAGAAAAGTAATATATATTTATTTGCAACGCGCGATAAAATTATGCGTCCCGTATTCTGTTGAGTCTGATTTACGACGTGCTTCTTGCGATTAGATACATTCTATTTTGTATAAGGTACTATTTGTCAACTTGCACAAGTCTTTTAAACACATTTATTGGCTACAAAACAGAATGTTTCTAGACGCAAGCAGCACGCTGTAGATTGGGTTTAAAAGGCTAGTGCTGTTAGGGTAGAGTTTCGCTGATAAGTGTGATAAACATAGATTGTAAAACGGTCCCAAACGTCTCTTCGTTATCGACATACATTTAAATCGGGACTCGAGAGCGTGCGCGTGGGTGTGCGTACTGGCGCGGTCTATTATTCTCTCCGATCGATCTGAATTTTTTATAAATTAGTGAAAGTGGTGCGGAGAGCGTGGCGAGATGGAGAGCGGTTTGATTGTGGATTACCGGGTCGGGGCTCGCGAACGGGACGTTCCGGTGCGCGTTCGACCGGGCCGATTGCAAATTTAATCTGTTTTACATTGCAGAAAAAGCGAAGGAAAGAGCAGAAGAGGGAAGACGAGAATACGACCAATGGGCTTGATCCGTTCGACGAGGATGACGAGGATAAGCTTAGAGACATGGCGAAACGGTTCGAGGCGAAATATGTACGTTGGTGATAGCACTGATCTTTGCCACTGACATTGTGTGACAAACTTTTAATTAATGTGGAAAAATTGCTAAACGACGCTAACTGGTAAATTCTAATTGAAGAAATTTATTGCGAAACATATCACCTCAGCCAGGGTTTGAACCTGGACTCCCCTACACTCTAGGCGGGCGTCTCGTAGGGAGTGCAGGGAAGTCCAGGTTCAAACCCTGGCTGAGGTAATATTTTTCGCCATGAATTTCTTTAATTAGAATTTGCCAGTTAACGGCGTTTAGCAATTTTTCCACATTGGTCAATCATGTACTGACGTCAAACCATTCTTTACGAAACTTGTCTTCCTTTGCCTTAGGGGACGTCCACTATGGGTAAGAAGAGGCACAAGTATGACGATTACGTGGACTTGGGCGCAGGATACGATGAGAACGATTCCTTCATCGACAATACCGATGCTGTGCGTCAAGTTTCTCTTTTGTGAAAGAGTATTTTCAATGTGATCCAAGGATTTTCTAAAATGTAATGTCGATATTTTGTCAACAGTACGATGAAATTGTACCCGAAGAGATGACCACCGCGCACGGGGGTTTCTATATTAATTGCGGGGCTCTCGAGTTCAGAGCAGCCGATAGACGTTCGTTAGTCCATAACAATAATAATAATAACAATAGCGACGACGAGGAAAGTAGCGAGAGTAGCGAGGATGATACCGAAGATGTAGATAGTCCTAAAAGGGTAGATAAACGTATCATTAGCTCCTCGGAGGACGATGAGACGGAGGATATTACTGGTGATAATCCACGAAAGGTAATTAGCTTTTAGATACGCGCTATTGCTCGCTTCATCCCTGTATGTTGCTCCGTAATAATTTAACGTCGATTCGCAGAGACGGAAAATTGATGAGAGCAGCGAGAAAAAAGTTAATCACGAGAATGTCAAAAAGAGGAAAAAGCCGCAAAACCATCAGACTCAGGATGCGCAGCAACAAAATTCTCAACAAGATCTGGATCTTTTGAGACGGAAGGAGAAGAATGAGACGACAGATGCGGAGGGAGGTACAGGTAATATTTTCTACTTCCTATATCGTTATTAAGTTATGAAAAATATTTATAATTTTGATGCACGCGTTATTCTTACGGAATAATCTTGCAATTTCAGCCTCGGAAGATCAAGAGGACAAGAAGAAGTCTGACAAACCGGAGAAAAGTAAAATAAGCGAGAAAAAGTTCGATATAAAAAAGTTCGAGAAGAAATCCTCCAACAGCAATGGATATGACGCGAAGAAGATAGATATAAAGAGATTGGACGCTAAAGACAGCAACATCGACGACGCGATAGAAAGCGTCGTCAACGCGGCTCGAGGAATCGAGGACGACTCGAGTCGCGACACGACAGATTCGGGGAAATCTCGTGTTTGCCTTTACGTTGAATCTGACGGGGAGGAAATGGAGAATAAAGAAGCGTCTTTGCCCGAGAATCTACCGGAGGATGTACGAGATATAGTGAATAAACTAAAGATTCAAGCGGAAAACAGCAAAGATGGTAAAAGCAAGTTCTTCAATAGCGCAGTTAACGAAGTGCTTTTTACGTAAGTTTGCATCATAAATTCCTTAAATTGCCAATTGTACAAATCGTAAAAATTGTTCTCTAAGATCCGTTACTTTTGTTACAGTTTAGAGAAGAAACTGCGAATGTTGAACTCGCCTAGCATAAGATTACAAACCTACGGACACCTAGTACGATTTTTACCTTGTAGTAAAATTACTCTTCTCAGCAGAGCTAAAAAACTTTATTTGAAAGACGCCGAGCACAGAGTGAACGAACCGATGCAAAAGTAAGATTCTAACAATTGTTTATGTATATATGTTTGTAAGAAACTTATTTTTCTTATATATTCATTTATAATATATAAATTATCTTATAATTTTGATCTTTAAAAGTTCCACGTTTTACAAGGTTTGTCAACGCTTTACAGATTAAAGACGCTTATCGATAATGTTATGCCATCAGTTACGGACAAATACTTGAAGGAATGTCAGAAAGTTGCCGATGAAAAGTGAGTAACTCTATTATAAATCGTATGCACAGTGGTTTGGAATGTTGCAGTTATTCTTAATTTTTGCGGCAGTCCATTTCTGCTCTTCAATAATAGATTATGTCTTAAATCTATTTATTAATAAGTGTTAATTTTAATTGTTAAGGTTTTATAATATTAATTACAGTTGAATATATATAAATACTCCAGTTTGTCAGAGAGCGCGATAATACAAATAAAACTACAGTTTATAATTTCTTGAATATAAACTCATTGTAATTTTTTATTTCTCAGTCCTCAATTATACTGGGAGATATATTCGTACTGTTGGTAAGGCGCCCCTCGTAAGAGGAACCTCTTTCTATTCTCGCCTCTTCGACTGCTCTTTCTCTTTTCTCTTTGGTTTTCTACTACCTTTAATCTTTCCCTTCTAATCTATTCATGCTTACATACTTTTGCTCTTTCAATTATTACCAACATTCATACAATCAATTGTGTTTGCATATAGAAGAGGAGGAACATTGTATTATATAACGCGGTCATTATTCTTCATCTATCACATTATTGAAAAAGCAGAGAAAGATGCGGGGCTTTTTATCATCAGTATCAGTGTTTAGTTTATCACTAGAATCATCTTTTGTGTCAAACAAGGAAACTACGCATTTGATCTGGGACACAATTCGACGACTAGACGATTTGATTAAGTGTTATTAACCAAGAGATTAAGATCACGGAATTCTGTCGCAACAAATGCTGATCATCATTCTTTGTCATCGCGTGACATCATGAATCGTTGTAATATTAATTGTCCGTACTGTAATGTAATTGACTGATCGATTTCAGGGGTTTCGAGGGATCTCCTGCAGACGCGGAGAGCAGCGATGAGGATGATGGTTCGTCTAAAAACGCGGAAAAGCCGAAAATACCACGGAAACGATTTCCATGGACTGACGAAGCAAAGTGTGTCACTAATCAAAGCTATGTCGTTCACGCGTAACCTGAATTCGCATTCTCACCCACGTATATATGTAAATCTCAATTTTTAGGAAACTCGTTCTCGAAATTGCGAACGCCAGGAGACATTATTTCAAAATTCTCAGAACAAGAAAGGAGAGTATGGAATCGTTCGTTGCTACTTTCATGGATACGAATGTCTTACCACTGTGGCCGCCTGGATGCGTACGATTGCAAACCTTGTTAAAATATGCTAGTCCCATTGAACCCGCGTAAGTACATATGCTGCTAATACATTATATTCCATTGTTGATACACTCTATAAGCGTTACAAGAGACCTTTCGCTATTTGTGCTTTGCTTCGTGCATGAGAGTCCCCTACTATGGTTTTTTTCCTATTTTCACCAAAGTGAAAGGAGTGCGTTGTCTGAAAGTTAGGCTCAAGAATTCTTGAAGATTAATTTTAATCTCTTTGCGAATCGCGGTCAAGAAATCGGGCGCGTTGTCGTCACTTGACTATGTCAGGAAGTTAATTGATCGCTTCATTGCTTGATTATTGTATGTTTTAGGAAGGTGTAATGGATTAATACTTCTTCGCTCGAAACATTAACGGATTCCTTGAAAAAAAACTCATATTCTACGAGAGTGATACTGAATTTAACGCATTTATAGATATAACAAGATTATGAGATTATAATATTAATTTGTACGCAAATGTTTAATGTTAATTTGTTTCCCCGACTGCTTTTTTTTACTTTTTTTGTACATGCAAAATGGTTCAATTATTTTAGTTGGTATACGTTCTGATTTTGTTATTACTATTAAATGCACACAGATCATTACATTTACACTCTTATTTCTTATTATATACGGCTTGCCTTCTCCCAGTCTTATTTACACTTTCCTTTGATGTTGGTATTCATGTGCCGCCTTATATTAATGGATTATTATGATTTTAGCATTAAGAAGAAGTTGAAGAAACCGAAAGAAATGGTGAATGCGAACAACGTTACCACTTCTGCCAATACTCAAGCTTGTAATATTGTTGCGAAGAACGATGCGACAAGTGCGACTAATCTTTCGTCTCAAGAAAGTGAGAAGACAAATACGAACGTATCTAAAATTCAGATTGTTGGCGAAAATTCGACGAATTTTGCAAGTCAAGCGACAGCGAAGTCTAACGATGTCAACACCGATAAGAAGCAGCCCGGTAATAAATATAAAGACAAACACACGGAGAACAATGCGGGCCAGCAACAGCAGGAATGTCCTGGGATCTCCATTAATAGTTATACAGTTGGTAAAATTTCTGTAGTACCTACGGCGCAGCTGATGGCTCAGAAGCCAACTAAAAGTCACGTTGAGAAATTTAATTTCATGGATTTGACAAACAGTTCTCTATCAATAACACGCGTCGATTACGACAAGGGAACGGGAAAGCTGAATGAAGCAGTGATAGAGGATAGAGTTTCTATCACAGCATGTCCGGAACCTGTGAGTCATTCTAAAACAAACGAAATTTCCCAAGCTGGACATCATTCCGTATATAGGCAAGATACTCCATATTCGTCGGCACAGGCCTTGAAACACAGGTTCTTGCAGGAGAATGCAGACGCCAAGTGCGACAAGAGATTGGACGACAAGGATGTTGACTCAATGATCAGTAAAACTGACAAAAAGGAGAAGAAACGAGAGCGATGCGTCGATGTCAAGCTCAAGTCGTCGCACGATCAGAAGAAAAGGAAGAAGAATCACAAGATGATCGAGCAGCAGATAGGGCCTAACCAAGACGTAGTGCCTATGCCACAGCAAACGACCCTTTCGAAGGAGGAACAGGAACAGAGGCAAAACGAGGAAACTATTGCCGCGACTAATTTCCTCAGTCAGATCATCAACGACGATTCCTCGCCGCGTGGGTTAACCGACAAACGGAAAGACGGCTTCATTACGGATGACACCTTGGGGAACGCGGTACAACCAACGGAACAGGAGAAGGACGTCCAAATGGTAATGAGGTCGTTAAAGGAGTTGCAGGAGTTGCAAGAGATGAAATTTTCCCCGAACAACTCGCCGGTCGGTGGTACCATACAAAAGCCTGGTAAATCAAATCCGCAGTATGTTACTTATCAGGAGGATTATCAACGATTGTATCTCAAGAAGGAGGATAAAATGAGGTCTAAGGAAGAAGCACAATGGTAGAAACGACGTACGTTATCGCCCGTTTTGAAGTTTTTTTTTTTCTTTGGGGAACGGTAGTGATCAGATCAGCTATATTACTTTTACGAGAGATAATAGGCGGGACTCTCGAAATTTGTATAATTTACGTTTCGTATGAGCGATCGTGCGAAGGCTGACGGAAACTTCTTCCACTTATATGACGCCGCTTATTGGCGAGATAAAAACCGTAATGCAGCTGTCGCATGTAGGTTTACAGCGATCATACTGTGTATGTCGTGTGAGGATTTTAAAATATTTTCAAACAAGAACCGCCAAATTATGTACATACATTATAAATTCGCTAGCGGTAGTTTCGGTTGTATGTGTACAGAATAAGTAAATTATGAAATTCTAGAGTACTCGAAAGATGTGGATACACTTGGCGGATGAACAACGAGCGAACGGCGAACGCAAAATTCAACCTGCTTTCTATGTCAACTTTATAGTCGAGATGAGCGTGAGTTAAATTTCGTTATCTGTCACGCGTATATATTTTGTAGAGATTTTTCCTTTAATAGTGAACATTCGCTTTCGCTCTCCGTTCAGTCATTCGTCCGGTGTGCGCATGTCTCAATAAGTATTTGTAAATAAGTGAGCAGCGTCCAATCGCTCCGTGAATCGGTTGGTCTACAAGAATTTTATTTGCATTTACTTGACGAGCCGCCTGTGATTTTTTTATTGTGATTTTTCCGATTATGCGGTATTTGATACTTTCGGCTACGTATGCGCGACACACGTGACATTTTGTTTTAATCTTAAACGTAAGGCATCAAATGCTGTCTTTTTTTTTTTTTTAAGTAACGCCACAACGTTGGACGGATAGATTATTGATGTTAGTGAAGCCTTTGCTTTCGTATCTTCTTATATCTTTTCGACCACCCTGTGTCACGGAGCGAAAGAAAGATGTCTTGTGTACTGTTCCTCCTTGTGTTTCGGTTGTCATCGTTATCATAATGTATGTACGTTAGTGAAAAAGAAAAATTCGGTGTATTATTTTCTCGAAATTGTATTACTGCCTTCCATGAATACGCAGGTAATCGTCGCAGATTCGTCGCGAGTAATTCTAATTGTAACTGGCGATTTATCTAATTATAGTTATGAACGGATTGCGAAATTAATATGTGAAACTGCGGCTATCGGATAAGCGTTACTTCGTAGGAGCAAAAAGTCACGATACTTCCACTGTACATTATCTTTGCGTCGGACATTTCCTTTTCTTTTCTGTCGTAACATCACAATAATAAATTGTATCTTCAACGCTTTATAGTGTTGGAGGAGGGAGTGCGATTATCACTAGAGAGAGAAAGCGAGAGAGAGAGAGAGAGAAAGAGAGATTATCATTAGCTCAAGAAGGTACGTGCGAGCATCCGTTGCTTTCTCGACTTGCAAATTTGTGTGGCTTTGTATGTGGCTTGACTGAATAGTAGACACGTTAGATAGCGCGGAGAGAGGAAGCGAGTGCGAGAGGACCCATGTGTATGAGAGAGAGAGAGAAAGAGAGATCGGGGAGAAGGCGAGAGTGCGTGAGAGAATGAAAGAGACGACTAGAATATTTTTGGAACGCATAAAGATGACTAGTGTATTATACCGTATACCTTACCCGCCCCCTCCCCCATTTTACCCCTATGATACTTAGAGTAAAAGAACGTCTTGTACAATTCCGCATTGAGGATTTTCACGAAGACGACTTTAAAATATAAGTTTTGAATATTTTTTACAAAAGCTTCACAATTTTTGCCCCTCCACTGCAACGTGCGATCTTGTCACGCGCTTTTATTTTTATTTCGAGATATTCTCGCCCATTATTTCCATCGCGGATTCACTGATAGATGCTGTACGCGAAGAGATCAAGCGCCACCATGAACAGCGTGTAGGACAGCAGCGAGATTTCTGAAATTTTAGCAAAAAGTCGCGTTACCGGGTCCTACGATCGCGTCTCGGCCACCCGACTCACCGGAGTTTTCCGGCTGCAGGCTCAAAGTGTTGTCATAAAATATAAAATGGTTCATCGTTAGGTATACGTTGAAGGCATTCGTGCAGGCCCGAACGATCCACTCGTACTCGGAATCTAGCAATCGTTTCTCGGTCATTTCGCCAGTTTTCCTTCTTATATTACTTTTTATAAAACGAAAAATACAATTTTGCAATTTTACATGATAATTTAACGGCTCAAACGGTAATGATAGTCGCCGTCACTCTTCTCGATTCTCGACTTGAGGCAGTTTCAAGCCTCGATCTACAATGTGCTCTATTTTGAACAAAGTTTACCCAAGCTCTTAAACAATTTGTCGGCAATGTACGATTGTACAATGTATAATGTACAGTTTGTGCAAATTTCTTTAACGTATTTATTGGCTGTGCAAAAAGATCAATGTTTCTAGACTCAGAGAACGCATTGTAAATCGTGCTTTCGAGTGCGGAGCGAGACGAGCGTGGGATTTCCAGCAAAGGTTCAACAGATTCAATAGCTTCGTCTCTTTCTAAGGGGGCGGTTAGCCGCTCGCTTTTAGCATTTTCACCATATTGTAAGCTACAGAATTGACGCGTTCGTCTCATGTCCGCTTCTATTAAAGCAGATTAACGTTAATCTCAAGTAAATTGACCTGTGTATCTCAAATTCTTAAAATTGGAGAAAGATACAAGGTCAGTTAAACCGAGATCGTATTTAGTCTACGTTGGCGAAAATAGAATTGCACTTTGACCCACGAATTTTATCTCTATTATACCTCGGACGTCTGGCCGACCTCGTTTCCGTTCCCGTTCCCGTATCAATCGCGCGCCTTTTCCCGAGCGGTCGGGCGCGCCGCCGCGAGGCGGCGCCGCGGTCGCGCGCGCCTCGTGACGTAACGCGACTCAGCGGTCTGAAACGAGCGGGGGCGGGCTGGCGGGTGGGGAGGAGAGACGGCGGCCCGATGTGTGACCTTGCAGTGTTTGTAAACAGACACACGTTGCCGTCGCGAACTGTTACGGACGATCGCCATCGCGGAGCGCCGAGCCACCCCGGAGTCGCCTGTCGTTTCCCTGCCCCGTCTACGCGCGTCGTCGCGCGACAACGCCATGGAGGTGGAGCCGATGTGCATCGCGGAGAACGAGACGGTGAGTGCGCCGATTTTTTCGCCCGTGCCCGCGGCGGCGCCTGACAATGTGCTCTCGCGCGCGTGACGCAAACCTGCCATGGGGCCCGAGCACGCAGCGTGCGCTCGGCGGGATTACACCACATTGTGCAAAGAGGGCGCCCGCCGTGACGGACGCGTCCTCGCTCGTCCCCGACGACGATCGCCGTGCGGCACGCGCCGAGCGCAATCGTCCCGACACCCCAGCTCGCATCGATTGCGATCGCGGGTGGGTGGGGAGAGGGGGGGGTTGCAGTCTAGCTGGCCGATATTTCGTTCATGCGGTCAGGCTGGCGCCTGACTCGGCCTGGCATTCCTCGCGGCAGGTGGCGCCGCTTCCTCCGCGCGGTTCCCCGCCTCGCCGACCGATGGCGCTGCGGCGGTTCGTTTTGGCGGGAGTCGCGCCCGCTCGTTCGCGATTCAAGCCTGTTCTCGAGCGTCGGAGACGTCGCGCGGCCGCTTCGCGCCGCGCCTCGCCCAACGGCCGACGATCTTCGCGAGTCCGCGTGGGTTCCCGCGCGCTGTCTCGGCGAGCGGAGCGCGCGTGAGTATTCAGTCGCGAGACCCCCTCCGAGTGCGCAGCGCCGCCGTCCGACATCTTGGACGACGGCGTCGACGGTTGAGTCGCGCGGTGCATTTCCTTCGCGAACGATCGCTTGAGAGCGGACTCGGTCCCGCGTGCGGGGTGTCTTTCGTCGTATCGTAAACATCGGAACGTATTCCGCGCGATCGTTGTTCACTTTGACGAGGCCCGGAATCGATTGTTGCGCGTCCCGAGCCATTTCTTCGTTGAGGTGCGCCTGGACGATGGATGCGCGATCGTCGCCAGGTATGTGTACGCTGCGATTGGCCGCGCCGATTGCGTCCTTTCTAATAATTCGGTCTGTTCTCGCGATTTACGACGAAACTGGTGTAACCTGATATTCTGCAATGTCCAGTTCTTCCATTTTTCGGTTAATTGTTAACCAGAAGTTAACCGATTCTCTACATAGACGTAGTAAATATAGATTGAGCGCCCTATTGAATAAGCTGAAGCTTGTGATAAGAGAGACAGAGAAGATTTATGCGGAGTCTACAATGCGAGTCGCAGTCGTAAGAATAATCGACTATGATTGGTCAGTTCTTATGTGCCTGACGGAATTGACCGATCGCAGTCGATTATTCTTACGACTACGACTCTCATTGTAGACCCAGCATTAGCAAGACTTTCTTTCTCTGTCTCACCATCGAGACTAAGGAGGCGCGGGCATGATTCTTTTCTTTTACCATGGTGTAAAGCCCAATGTCCACGATG